TCCATCCATCATCTGTTGATCCCTCCATCCATCATCCATCATCCATCCTTCGTCCATCCACCCATCATCTATCTATACATCTGTCATATATTGATTTATTATCTATCCATCCTCCATCATCTTTTTGTCCCTCCATCCATCATCCATCCACTCATTCATCCATCATCTACCCATCCATTTATCATCTATTCCTTCATAACCTATCTATCCACCCATAATCCATCCCTCCATTCATCAATCTATGATCTACCCATCTGTCCGTCATCTATTCTTTCATCACCTATCCATGTATCCATCCATAATCCATCCCTCCATTCATTCATCTCTGCATCCATTCATCCATCATGTATCCATCCATTCATCATCTCTCTCTCCATCCATCCATCATCTGTCATCAGTCCATCCATTATATATCCATCCATCTATCCATTTATCATCTATCTGTCCATCATCCATCCTTCCATCATCTGTTGATCCCTCCATCCATCATCCATCCACCCATCATCTATCTATACATACATCATATATCCATTTATCATCTATCTATCCTCCATCATCTTTCCCTCCCTCCATCCATCGTCTATCCATCCATTCATCCATCACCCATCCATCCATAATCCATTCATCCCTCCACCCATCATCCGTCTATCATCTTTTTTTGTTTTTTTGAGATGGAGTCTCACTCCATCACTCACGCTGGAGTGCAGTGGTGTGATCTTGGCTCACTGCAACCTCTGCTTCCTGGGTTCAAGCAATTCTCCTGCATCAGCCTCCTGAGTAGCTGGGATTACAGGCACATGTCACCATGCCCAGCTAATTTTTGTATTTGTAGTAGAGTCAGGATTTGGCCATGTTGATCAGGCTGGTCTCGATCTCCTGGCCTCAAGCAATCTACTCACTTCAGTCTCCCAAAGTACTGGGATTACAGGCGTGAGCCACTGCGCCGGGCCCATTCATCATCTTTTCATTCATTCATTCATTAATCATCCGTTCGTCTATCCATCATCTATCCATTTATCCATCTATCCATCCATCCATTCATGCATCATCCATCCATCATTTATCCATTCATCATCTATCCATCCATTCGTCCATCATCCATCCATACATCCATTCATTATCTATCATCCATTCATTCATCATCTGTCTATACATCCATCACCTATACATCCATATTTCCATTCATCTATCCATCCCTCTATCAATCATCTATCTATTCATCATTTATCTATCTATCCATCATCTATATTCCCCTCCCAACCATTTGAAAACAAACTGCAAACATCATGACACTTTACCCCAACTGCCATGGCATCACAAGGAGGTCCTACTGCACCACCATCACACCATCAGCACACCCAAAGGACTCAACAGTGATACAATAAAGTAATCTAATATTTCCCCAGTGGTCCCAATCAGTCTTTGAGTTGCCTGCTGGTTTAAATGTGGGAGTCCATCAAGAATGGAACATGGCATTGAGTTGTCAGGTCTTTTAAGTCCCTGTTAGTCTAGAACGGTCACCCTCTGGTGTTTTCCTCATGGCAATGATGCTTTTGCAGGTCAGACCAGGTGTTAAGTGGAATGTCTCTTAGTCTGGGCTGTCTCCTTGTTTCCTTGAGGTCAGATCAGGGCTAAACATCTTTGGCAGGAATGCAGCAGGGGATGTGTGCCTATCCTTGCTTCACGTGGTACAAGTTTGTCCCTGAACCCTTTTTTTAAAATAACAACTTAATTTTTTAATATATCTGAAGTTATTTAGTGTGGGGTAAAGTGAGGATTTCACCAGATTGGTTTTTTTTAGAACAGTTTCAGCTGCATTTAACACACAATCCTTTCAATGTCTTTTAAAATTCTTCATCTACAACAGAGCCTTTTCTGGGGTCTCTGGTCACATGGGTGCCATGCTGTTTTGATTATTGTGGCTCTAAAATATGGTTGGCTTTGTGGTGGTTCATGCCTCTAATCCCAGCACTTTAGGAGGCTGAGGCAGGCAAATCACTTGAGGCCAGGAGTTCAAGACCAGCCTGGCCAACATGGCAAAACCCTGTTTCTACTAAAAATATAAGAATTAGCCAGGTGTGGTGACACACTCCTGTAGTCCCAGCTATTTGAGAGGTTGAGGTGGGAGAATCACTTGAACCTGGGAGGTAGGGATTGCAGTGAGCTGAGATCATGCCCCTGCACTCCAGCCTGGATGATAGAGAGATACCCTGTCTCAAATGAATAAATAAAAATACAATATGCTTAACCTTCCTCCTCCCCCTCCCACCCCTATACTTTCTTTGTTCTAGATGTTTCTGTGCTTTCCTTGTGCACATGCATGTGGCTTTCTGGCTGTCCCTCTGTCCGGCCTTGACAGGCCACTTCCTTTCTCTGCCTCATGAGCTCAGGTCCCCTCTGCCTCGGCCCTGCTGGTGAAAGTCAGATTTGTGCCTCTGCTCAAAGGAGGTGCTGATCACCCCGATTTGGGGTCTTTTCCATGGGGCAGGGCCGATGTCTCATCCTCTTCCCTCAGCAGAGGCTGAGGAAGGTCAGGGGCATGGGGGCTTGGCCTGGCTCCTTCGCCTCTCCCGACGTCTAACCTGCACCTTTTGACGGGGGTGAGGTCCTCAAAACCGGATGGAATGAGGGACCACAGGCTGCTCCCAACCCATCTGCGGTCACAAGAGGAACAGAGGCTGGGGGCAGCATCCAGGGGAAGAGCTCTGGGCTTTAACTGGGTGACCCCAGTGACCTGCCGGATGATTCAGGCCCACGCCTGCCCCACCTTGGAACCTGGAATTCATATCCAACATGCAGGAACTTGGGACTTGAGTCTGAAGCCCTTGGGTGTGGGAGGGGTTTGCGGCTTTGGCCTGGGAGGGGCCGTGGTCACTAAACTTCAGGCTCCCTAACGCCCTCACTCCCTAGCCCTGCTCTGCCTGGCTCCTTCTCAAAGCTCAGTCTGCCCAGCCAAAACATCTACTAGGAAAACGTCTCTTCCCAGCCAGACCTCCACCTGCAGGGGTTGAAGAGAGGAAGGGAGAGGAGGGGGCGAGGCAGGGAGCGACAGGGAGAGCAGAGACCCCTGAGGACCTGTTCTCGCCCACTCCCTTCCAGCTGCCCTGTGGGGTGACTCTGTTTCTATGGGAGCCACCTGGGTCTGTATTTCTGTGTCTCTCTGCCGAATCCCACAGCTCCCAGGCAAATGGCAGGCCCCAGAGAACAGAGATCTGGGTTCAAATCTCACCACCACCACTACTTGTAATGCCAACCTCCTCACCTGTACAACGCAGGTGTCAGATATAATGACCTTCATTTTTAGGTGAGATCAAGATGCTTCCCTGGTTTTCTCTCACTGCACAGGACGGGAGATGCCCCCTGTGAACCCCAGGTGGCTGCCAACGGGAACTCTGGAACAGGGAAGGATCTGTGGGGACGGATGGCGGGGAGACGGGGCTGACTCAGCTTCCGAGTTGCTTTCTTGCTGTTTTAAGGGCCAGACCCAGTGGAGGCAAGGAGCATAGCCTGAAATAGTGACAGTGGGAGTGTTTACACCCCAGCAATTGGCAAGTGCTAAGAATCGAGTGTCTGCAGCTGCCAGGAACCTGCTGAGCCTTTCAGAAGCCTTACCACATGCATTCTTCTTAACGGTCTCCACTGCAGCCATCTGGAAGCCCAGACCCTCATATCTCACCCAGATGACTGCACACCTCCCTATCCTCCTGCAGCCCCTTCTCCATGAGGGAGCCCCGTGAAACCACCAAGCAGTGTTAGAACCTGCCTGTGCACACCTTGGCACTCCCTCTGTCTGGGATGGAGTTTCTGCGTCCCCTACTCCAGAGTCCAGGAGGGCTGGGGACAGCTTAGGCTGAGAGTGTACAGAGGCGTGGTGCTGTGCACAGGTACTGCTAGACTGGAAAGGGTGTATTGCCTCCACTGTGGGCGTGGGAGCACGCACACAAAGCCCTCTGCCATCCCAGAGGCAGCTTGACCCTGGAGGCCTCCATGCTGTGAGGAAGCCCATGCTGGCTCCCAACAGGCCACGAGACAGAGTTGAGCCCACCTGAAAGTGGGGGATGCTGGCCAGCCCCCCGTTCCCCAAAACCCACCAGCTCTGACCGTAGCTACAGGACAGATCCGGAGCCTGAACCTGCTGGCTGAGTCCATCTTGAATTCAGAATGTGAGAAATCGAGAGAGAATAACATGATTATTGTTCCTTTATTTATTTAGTTTTGAGACAGAGTCACTCTGTCACCCAGGCTGAGTGGAGTGGTAGGATAATAGTTCACTGCAGCCTCAAACTCTTGGGCTTAAGCGATCTTCCTGCCTTCGTCTCCCAAGGACCTGGGAACTTAGGCACATGCCACCATGCCTGGCTAATTTTTAGAGTTTTAGGAGAGACAGCGTCTTGCTATGTTGCCCAGGCTGATCTCGAACTCCTGGGTTGAAGCGATCCTCCTGCCTTGGCCTCCCTCCTAAAGTGCTGGGATGACAGACGTGGGCCACTATGCCCGGCCCTGTCTTCCTTTATGCCACGACATTTTGTGTTCCTGCCCGAAGCCCTCCAATGGCTTCCACTGCCCCTAGAATAAAATCCAGAGCCTTCCTTTGGTCCCAAGGCCAAGCGATCTGCCTCGTTGTTCCGTGAACAAGCCACACTGGTTCTCGCCCTCGGGCCTTTGCACCTGCTTTGTCGTGTCTGCCTGAAATGCCTGACCTAGATGTTCTAGATGTTCTCAGTCGGCTTCTCAGACTCCTCAGACAAGGCCTTCCTGACCTGGGCCTGAAATCCTTTACCTGAAATGCTGCACCTGCGCGTATCTCTGGCTTACTGTTTCTCCTCAGAAACTGAGAGCTCCGTGAGGGCCTGGTCTTAGCGCCGTGTCCTCAGCACTTAGCACAGAGCCTGGCACATAAACCTGTGTTGAAAGAATGTGTGGATATTTCCTAGAGCAACCCTCTGAGCTGGCTGTGGCCCAGAAGAACAAGACAAGCCTCCGGGAGGCTAACAGCGAAATTCATTGTAATCATGTTTATTTAACTCCATGTATCCAAAATGTTTTTTCAACCTGAAATTCATACAAAAATTCCCAATTGAGAAATTTTGCATTCTTTAGTAAGCATTTGAAACCTGGTATGCATTCTGCACTTACTGTAGTGTGCAGTTTGGACCGGCCACATCTCTCGTGCCCAGCGGCCACGCGTGGCCATCGCTCCTGGGCTGGATGGCCCTGGTCTAGCTAGACTCTCGGCTTTTGTTTCTTGAAGCTGCCAAATGTCCTTTCATGCATGTCTTCATTCACAAAATGTTCACACAACGATTGTGGGCTTGTGTGCTATTTTCAACTTCACTTCTATTTGTGTGTTTAAAAGAAAATACAATGATTTAATAGGGAGTTAAAACAACATGGAGAGAGAGCCTTCCCACCCTGCTGGCGGCCGGCGGGGGTTATCTACGTTTCTGGAGAGCGTGAACTGGAAAGGCCTGATCCCTAGTCGCTGGGGGCCTGAGATAATGACTTAATTAACACCTGGGCTGGGCAGTTTTGATCTTCAAGGAGTCCAGCCCACTTGGCTGGGGTTGCTTTTGGATTAATTGCCTAGAACGGAGAAAGCCTTGCCCAGAGATAAAGGGAAACGGGTTTCGCCATTACAAATTGTTCTGAAATCTGCCCTGGCACTGGGGAGCAGCAGCCAGGATTTGGGTGCCCAGCTGGCCCCCCTACCCCCAACCCAGGTGCAGGCAGGTGGTCAACAGTGCCCTTGCCCAGGGCACCCCAGTGCAGCTTTTCCTGGGCAGGTGGGTGGGAGGGAGGCTTCCTGAGAGTGGAGGCAGCTGGCGCAGGGACGGCTGTCCACCTCCCGCTTTTCAGATGAGGCAAGGGACACCCAGGGCAGTCTAGGGACAGATCTCACCAAGGCCAAGGTCAAGGGGCAGAGAGCAGAGGAGAGAACTTGCCTGTGCCCCCTCCTCGAACCTTGGAACTGGGGATCCGGAGTGTTGACCACAACCACTGTTCCTGGGTGGCCCCTCGCTTCTTTCCTGTTCCTGCCTGTACACCCCACGTACAAATGCCCCTGCGAATTGAGGATGGTCTATATTTACCGACGTTGCAGAGGTGTCCCTGGGGTGCTCAGCACCCCTGCAAGTCCTCGCTTCGCGTTGATGTGTGAGTGCCCGTGAAATTATACAAGGAAAGAGCTTAGCACCTGGCGCCATCCACGTCGCCGTAAATGTCAGACGTTACTACTACTACTAAATAACAACGACAGCGATCGCTGCGCGCCTGCTGGTGCCAAGCCCCGGAGGGACCCCGTACATGCAGCCTGGGTGGGGATGGGTATGAGGGGGCAGCGCTGGGCTCGGCAAAAGTTTTCTTCCCCTCTCCAGCCCCCTATCCTGAGGATTGGCCAAGGCCCTTCCCGCTTTCCCTGGGTGCCAGGGTCTTGGGGAGGGGCGGGAGGGAACCAGCCAGGGGCAGACGTCTGGCCACCCGCCCCTGCTGCGCGATGGCCCCCCTCGCTCGGCCTATTTGGGGCACCTGACTCACGGTAATTATGGGCCCGCGGGCACGTCGGGGCGCGCCGGGAGAGGCCGGATGCACCGGCTCCGGGGGCGACCGGACATCCCAGGCCGCCAGGTGCACCTTGCTTCCCACCAGCAGCTCCCCGCACCCGCCGGGAGCTCCCCGCTGCTTCCGCCAGGGGCCCCGGGCTCACCTCGGGGCGCCCACGGCCTCCCAGACGCGCGCCGCAACCTGGGGTGGGAATGTTTCGGGGGGCGGCGCGCGGGGCGCGTCTCCCTCCCGCACAAAGCCAGCCTCCGTCCCGGGGTCCGCGCCTCTGTCTCCTGGGCCTGGGAGGGGACGCCCGGCGGAGCTCCGAGCGCAGTGCCCACGCGATCTGGCCGCCCACGCCTCCTCCGACGCGGGAGTATATTTAGCCTCATTATCAAATGTTTGCAGTGAACTGTGCGAACCGACTAATAGCGGCTGGAAGTGAAACTCGATTCCCGGCCAGAAAGAAGCATGTGACCGCCCCCATCTGCAAGGATCGCGGCAGGGCGGGCGGGGCAGGTGCTGCAGCTTCCGCGGCCAAAACCCGCCGGCGAGGCCCGGGTCGCACCGTCCCCTCCTGGGTCGAGCGGCTGAAACGCACTTTCTCCCTCCGCCCGCTCTCCAGGGGCTGCAGTGAGGACGCTGGGAGTCTGAATGGAAACGAAGGCCGGGGAGGGTGCTCCCCGCGGACGTGGGTTTTTATCCAAGTCGGCGACCTCTTGGTTAAGTCGGCCCTGCGGTTTCAACGCCCAATTCCCCCAAAAAGCCTGTGGGGGTCCACGTCTTCTTGTTTCTTCCGGGATCCGGCGGAGGATGGGGCGGGGCCGGGCAGGGGGGGTCCCTGTCCCACGCCGGGCGCGCCGTGCCCCGCGTCTCCCCAGAACGTGGCTGTCGCGCGGCTGCACAAGTTTTCGCCTCCCTCGCTCGGCCGCTGTTGTTGTGGTCGCCATGGCGACGGGTCGCGGTTTTAATTTTAATAGAGGCCGGCGATTAGAGAGATGCCTGCACCGCTTTCGCTTAAGCTCTGCGTCCCGCGGGTGAAGCACCCACGCCCCGCCCCAGCCCCCGCCTCGCTCCAGCGCCCCTTCCACGTCCCCAGGTGGCCCTAAACTCTAGCTGGGCGCACCCGTAGCTCCAGGCCGGGCAGGGAAGCCCAGGGAGGCAGCCATCTAGGCCCTCAGAGGCGGCGAGGACCTCCAGGACCCCGCAAGCTGGGAGGGACGGGTACCCCACCCCCAATACAACGCGACCTTCCTCCTTGCTTTCCACACCGTCACACCAAGTACTGTAACCCCACAGAGGTGACCTCGGGGCCCCTCTGCCCGGAGGAGTCCGAGGCCCAGGACAGGATACACGCGACTCCAGGATAACTGGCCGAGGAATGAGGCCGGGGTCCGGCCTGCGTCCTGACTCTGCGAGTCCGGCTCCTTCCAGAAGCCATCCAGTGGGTGTCCCCTCCCGAGCGGCCCAAGTTCCCCCTGGAGGGACCTGGCTTTCAGGGGCTTCTCCACGTTTCCAAGGCTCTCCTGGTTCTGTCCCGGTCCCGCTTGGTCCTGACCACCCAGAGGGCGTGCTTGACCGCGGGGGTCACGGTGTGGGACTGCAGACAACGGAAGGGAGAAACCTGGGGAGGGGGCCTGCAGGTGTGTGGAAGGGCGCGTGTAGAAGCGACCCACTGGGAGCGGAGGGAGAGGCCCCTTCCCCCTGATACTGGGGGGAAGGTGAGCGCCCCCGAAGCGCTCTCTGGACTCGGCCTTTGAAATGCTAGAGCTGGACTAGCTGGGGATGAAAGACCGCCCGCAGGGCTGCGCCTTAATGGCCTTTGTCTGGAGGGAGGGCGACCGCGGCGGGGGCAGGGGTTTAATCCACAGGGTTGGGGGTGACGGCTGGGACGGGCTGAATTCTGCTTCACTGCCCACCCACGGGAGCGTCTCCTGGTTTCCAGGGGCCTAGGCCGTCTAGCCTCGGGGTCTGCACAGCGCGCCACCCTGCTGGACCCAGTAGGAGGGCGCGTAGATCCCCTGGGAGGGCACTGGAACCGTAGTCAGGGTCCAACTCCTCCTGGTCTAGGGAGGCGAAATCCATCCCGCCCGGGCACACCCGCCCTTTCTCGGCGTGGGAGCCGTCTAGCCACGCTCAGACCTCGGCCTCCGCGCGCGTTCCTCCCCCGCATCGCGCTCTGAGCTGCGCCTCGGCCGGAGGTGGCGCTCTGTGCGCCCCGCGGATCCCGACGCGGGAGGCTCAGAACCCGGGGGACCCTCACCCGTGGCTCCTTTCCCTTCCATCCCCTCGACTTCCCGGCTCAGGGCACGGCCCTGCCTTCGGCGCGGGAGTGGGGGACTGGGGGGCGCGGGTCCCAGGGTGGGGACGAGGCGGGCTGCAGGCCGGTCCCCCGACCGGAGCTCGCTCCCAAGTGGAAATGTGGGTGGAGGGTCCTCATTCAGATGCCCCAGGCTTCGGATCCTGGGCGGGGGCGCATGGCAGCCGCCAGGTGAGTGCCCCAAACCCGCCCCCGTCCTTCCCCAAAGACTGACTCCCCCTCCTTTTATGGAGAGGGTAAGGCTGGGGCCCTGGATCCGAACCGTGGAGAGCGGCCGGAGCGCCGGGGCGGGGGCGGGGACCGGCTCTCTCGCCCTTTTTGGCGCAGCAGCTCTGGGCGCTGCCCGCTGCCGCCGCTGGGGCCCGAGAGAGGCGAGCCGGCGACGGCGGCGCTTCTGCGGCGGCCTCCTCCCTCCCCACCCGGTGCCGCAGGATTGCAGCTGGCACTGGAGGGTGGGCAAGCTCGAGGGAGGGGCGCGGAGCCCCGGCGCGGAGCCGGGCGCGGGGCTTTGATGGATTTAGCTGCTTGCGCGAGCGCGTGTGTGCTCCCTGCCGCGGCGGCGGCGCCCGGGCCCTGCCGGGTCCGCACGAACCCCGCGCGCTTCCGAGGTGCGGGTCCTGGGCCCGGAATCCGGGGGAGGCGGGGGGGGGGGCGGGGGAGGGGCGCGGCGGCGGCGCTATAACCCTCTCCCCGCCGCCGGCCGGCTCCACACGCGCGCCCTGCGGAGCCCGCCCAACTCCGGCGAGCCGGGCCTGCGCCTCCTGCTCCTCCTCCTCCTCTTCTCCCGGCGGCGGCTGCGGCGGAGGCGCCGGCTCGGCCCTGCGCCCGCCTTCAGGCCGGCGCGGGCGGCGCAGCGAGGCCCCGGGCGGGTGGCGGCTGCCAGGCGGCTCGGCCGCGGGCGCTGCCCGGTCCCGGCGGGCGGAGGGCGGAGCGCGGCGCCGGAGCCGAGGGCGCGCCGCGGAGGGGGTGCTGGGCCGCGCTGTGCCCGGCCGGGCGGCGGCTGCGAGAGGAGGCCGGAGGCGAGCGCGGGGCCGGCGGTGGGCGCGCAGGGCCGCTCGCAGCTCGCAGCCGGGGCCGGGCCAGGCGTCCAGACAGGTGATCGGTGGTGGTGGCAGCGGCGGCGGCGGCCCCAGCTTCCCTCCGGAGTTCTTCTCGGGGCTGATGCCCGCAAATATGCAGAATTACCGGCCGGGTCGCTCCTGAAGCCAGCGCCGGGGAGCGAGCGCGGCGGCGGCCAGCACCGGGAACGCACCGAGGAAGAAGCCCAGCCCCCGCCCTCCGCCCCTTCCGTCCCCACCCCCTACCCGGCGGCCCAGGAGGCTCCCCGCGCGGCGGGCGCGCACTCCCTGTTTCTCCTCCTCCTTGCTGGCGCTGCCTGCCTCTCTGCACTCGCTGCTCGCGCCGGGCGCGCTCCGCAAGCTCCGTGCTCCCCGCGCCACCCTCCTCCGGGCCGCGCTCCCTAAGGGATGGTACTGAATTTCGCCGCCACAGGAGCCTGGCTGGAGCGCCCGCCCCGCGGCCTCGCCTCTCCGCCGAGCCTCCAGCGCCTCGGGACGCGATGAGGACCTGGGCTTGCCTGCTGCTACTCGGCTGCGGATACCTCGCCCATGCTTTGGCCGAGGTTGGTGCCGCCCCCGCGCCCCGTCCCTGCGCCGGCTCCTCCGGCGCACACCCCCCGCTGGCTGGGGCGCCGCGGGCTCTGCAGAGAGCGTTTTGGTTTCTGCTAGGGTGGTCGATGTTTAAATTTTCCCAACTGGTTTCTATTTTCTGCCATGCCTAAGTGTGTGTGGGGAGTTTCCAGCGTGTTGCGTCGCTTACTCTGCCTTGGAGGGACAGGGGAACAGCGAGGTGGACGAGTGGGGAGAAACTTCGGGGGGCGCAGGGTCCTCTCCGGGGAAGGGAAGCTGGGGCGCAGCGGGCGCTGCAGCAGCGGGGTGCGGGGAGTGGGGAAGGGGGTGTGTGTATGTGTGTGTGTGTGTGTGTGAGCCGGCGAAGCCTGGGGAGGAGAGAAGGGCGCCTGATAAACAGGTAGGGGCGGCTGCTGCGGAAGCCCCTGGCCGGGCAGGGTAGGCAGCGCCAAGCCACAGCCCCCGGTTCCCAGTCCCCAAGCCCGGCGGGGCGCAGGGCCGGCGCAGCCCGCCCGGGCCTGCTTACAGGTGGCTGAGCCAGGCGAGCTGGGGCCGGGCCAGGCGTCCGCACCCTCCCACCGCGGCGTCCCCGCCCCCCCATCCTCATCCCCATCCCCGGGAGCTTTGCTGTGATGAATGACTTTCCGCAGCCCCCGTCGTGGGAACTTAGTGCTTCAGGCTCTCCAGCGACCCCCGACTCTCCTTAAAAATCGGGGAGGGGAGTGGGGGAGGCCAGAGGTGAGGGTGGTCTCCGCAGGGCCAGGAGAGCTGTGCGAGATGGAAGTTTAACCCTCGCTTTCCCTGGAGGTTTCTGGATTTAGGCGTCTTAGTCGGCGCTAGGGCCGCGGCTGGGCCGGAGCCCGGGGTGGGGCGAGTGTGTGAGTGAGATGTGTGTGCGCGTGTGTGTGTCTGCGCGCGCGTGCGTGTGTTTGTGAGACGGAGAGACCTCTCCACGGGTTCGGCCCGGGATTCCGGGGCGTGAAATTTAAGCCCTGCCTGGATTAAAGTGTTAGGGCTGCCGTGACTCTCGCCGACCCGTGACGCATTTTAACTTGATCTTTCTAGATGTTGATCTCACTATTAAATCGGAAACTCTCGGCCCCCTCGCTGCCCCCAGACCTTCTGTAACTGACACCCCGGGCGGAGGGGCCGGAGTGCGGGGGCTTTTGTCTGAAAATATAAAGGGGGGGAGGCTTTGATTTTGCAAAGGGCGGAACATGGATGGGGTGGAGAATTTGGGGTCTCTTCCAGCCCCACCCCCGGCTTCTGGTTCCAGGGCCGGGGCGAGGGCTCCCCGGGGGCTGGGGCGGGGACTGCGGCCGGCGCTCGCGGGGTCTCCTCGGGCCCGGGGCGGCGGCACTCCTGGCGGCCTGGGGCGCGTGCCGGCGGGGTCGGGGCCGCGGGCACTGACTGTGTGGCCTCTGCTTGCAGGAAGCCGAGATCCCCCGCGAGGTGATCGAGAGGCTGGCGCACAGTCAGATCCACAGCATCCGGGACCTCCAGCGACTCCTGGAGATAGACTCCGTAGGTAAATCGCGCCCCTTCCCTCGGCGCGCGGGGAGGGCGCGGGCGGGCGGCCTGTGCGCCCCGAGCTGGGGCCGGGCGGGGCGCCGCGCAGGAGCGCACCGAAAGGTCAGAATCCAATCCCCGGCCATAAGCGCCCGGGCGGATGAGTCAGGAGTTTCTCTTCCAGTCTCCACTTTCTCTCCCAGCGGCGGCCGAAGGCTGCTCGCTCGCCCCAGGATTGTTTTCGCCTTTAAGGAAAACGCCGCGTGTGTCATACAAAGTTCAGCCGCGGCCCCCGCCAGGTGTGCGGGCCCCGCGCCTGCCCTCCGGCCGGAGGAGCGGCGGGATCCGGCCCAGACCCTGGGCGCTGAGCCCTGGCCCGTGCGCCGGGCGGGCAGCCCGCGGAGTGAGGCCCCAAGGACAGGCGCAACTCCCGGTCCGACGGGCGGGCGGGCGGGGCCCGCCCCTTTGTAATCCCTGCGAGCTGGTACCGCGTTCTTGCCGCAGGGCTGGGCCTCTGTGGCTGCAGAAGCCGGTGTCTTACTGTTTTCACGACCCAATAAAAAGCCTTAGACGCATCTGCTGCCTGAGGCTATTTTTGCGGCTCACCCTCGGGCCCTGGGGCCGGGCCAGTAGCGAACACAGTTTATTTGCAAGCACAGAGTTTTGGAGCGAATGTCAGCTGCAGAGTTGGACCCGGGTTGGCAAGGGTTAAAGGGGCTTCTCACCCCGGGGGGACCACCGGTGGGTGGGAGGGGCGAGGGTGTAGGGTGGCCGCCCGCCCCCTCAGGGCCAGAGAGCCCCTTCCTAGAAGGCGAGGTCTCTCTTCCAGGCCTTTGTGGCGCCCTTTTCAAAATGCGCACTCGGCCTGGGAACTCTCATCTGAGCCTTAACCTGGTTTAAAAAGGGGGTCTGCAATAAACTTATTAAAAAGAGTAACTAAAGGCCGCAGAATTGGAAGAATGTATATGACATGAAGATTTTTCTCTCTCTCTGCAAAGGACTCTGAAAAAGGGGGGGGGCGTGGGGGGATTAAGTGAAATCACATGGTCTAGTCATTTGGAAATTTGTACCTAATTATGGTGGTGGAGAGGCATGAACTATTTTCGTTTCATGCCAAAACCATTTTCTAACAAGGCCGATGGTTTCTGTAGTTTCTTGACCCAGGAAATCCCTGGGCTGATACTTATCGGGGGCGGGGGCGGTAGTTTCACCCGGAGAGCACAGCTGGGCGGGGGGGGTTTTCACCCGGTCCCTCCATGGGTAACTCTGGGGAAAGGGATTTGGCTCTGGTTTGTGGCGGGGAACCCTTGCCTGAATCTCGCTGGTCCTGGATAGGTTTGGAAAAGTTGGGGGGGGGCTGCTTCTCGGAGAAGGTTTCAGGCCTTTTTCTGGGGGGGTGCTAGCAGAAGGGGGGCCTGTGGAGAGCTGGGCCTCCTCGTGGGACTAGCTTTGGAAGCCTCAGGGAAATGGGCCATTCACTTTCTGCTGGGACTATTCTTATTCTGGTCTTGGCGCCCCGCCTCCTCCACCCCCACCCATTATCGCCTTTAGCATTGCAGCTCCGTGGCGTATGCTGATGGCATTCCTGACCCAGGGGCTTCTAGGTTGTAGGGTCCAAACAGAAAAAAACAAGGATACCCTAAGCTAGTCCTCCTAGTCGGTTTCAAATTCCCCCTGCAGCCATGTGCCCGGAGCTCTTTCCTCCTGCCCCAGGGAAGGCAGAGAGCGCCGATCTCAGCCCTCCTGTCTTGTGAGAGGTTTTGGGGTCTGAATAGGATTCTGCTAGTGTCTAGGAGGTTTTGGGTGTGAGAATATGGGGGTGGCATCTACCTCCTCTCTTGCCTCCAGCCTTGCCCCTGGTGGGGGACCTTTTGTAACACAGCGGGGCCTCCTTCGTCCTGTTCAGTCCCCTCCCCAGGTGTGGCTGGAAATGGAACCAGAGGGACCCACAGTCTCTCGCCTGAGGACAGGAGAGGCAACGGCTGCTTCTCCAGCTTGTAGGGGATGCCTTTTCCTTAACTCAGGTTCTCTCTCCTAGGGAGGGTTGTAAACTGGTTGAGGTCAGTTCTCCTGGGGTAAGCCTCCCTCCGGGTCCTGTACTCCCTTTTTGATCCAGAGGTGCTTCTGGTCTCTTAGGGGCAGGGGACAGTGTAGGGCTCATGAGGAAGGGGCTGGGTGCTGGGAGAAACGCAATGTAATGAACTTTCCCTCGGGGTTCCTTTATAACCCTTCCAGGCTGATGTTCTCGGCATTAGGTGCCTCTAAGGCTAACACTGTAGGAAGTAGAAAGAGGCCTGGAGGAATCCCAGGTGTGCGCCCCAGCTATGCTGACTCCTCCTCCAGGTGGGTGGGGCTTTGTGACTGGCATTTGGCTCCTCCCAGCATGCAGGCTGCGTCCCCATTGTACAGTTAAGGAGACTGAGCCAGGCACTGTCTGGGGGCTTGGCCGCTCCTTGGCTGTGGCTGAAGGAGCAGGGGTACAGCCCGAGCATTTCATTCGAAGGGTGTGCTGGAGGGAAGAGTGAAGGTTTGTCACCTGTGGCTTTTAGAGCCGGAGGCCAGCATGTGGTCTTTTAATGACCGGCAGCCGGCGTTTAGGGCCTGTTTGTCCCGTGTGCAGTGGCAGCTGAGGTGTTTTGTTCCCCAAAGCAGTCTGGCCCGCTGCCCATGGTTCATCCAGCGGCTGATAACATAAATATCCCCATCCCCATCTCGGGCCAGTCAGACCAGGATGGACGGTTGGGAGATTCTCCCTGTCCTGGAGTTGTCATTGGGACATCTGTGCCTAAAAGACAAAAGGGAAAGCCTCCTGATTAGCTGTCCTGGGAGCAGTTTCAGGGGTGATTCTAGCCGGCCAGGCCACCTGGGCCTGGTCCTGGGCTGCTCAGAGCTGTGTTTGCTGAGCTGTGGGTGGCTGCTGCTCTGAGCCACGTCTCAGCCAGTGTAGATCGAAAGGGTGGCTTTGGGGAGCATGGTCCACTCTTGGCATCTTGAGCTGGGGGCAAAGGGTGGGCTTGTTAGACTGGGAGCTGTTCCCCTTCTGTCCCTTGTCTCAAGAAATTCTCCAGCTCAGGCTTTCTCAGGGTCAGTGAACTAGCAGGGCTGCCGTCTTCTCTGTTTATTAAGCCAGGGCTGGAGGGCCCATGCACTGTGGACGCAGACCGCAGAGGCTCCTGTGAGCCACTCCTCCTCGTCTTGTTATATTTCTCTGGGCCTCAGTTTCCTCGGATGTAAAGAAGTGATAGCACCCACCGCACACACAGAAACTGTCATTGGTAAAGTGGCCGATGCAAACGTGGCTATCGCAAGGCATCGGAAAATGGGAGCGGGTGTTACGATTGAATTTTCTCCTACGAGTGGCGAGTGGACCGGTTGCTCTTTGGTTTGGCCATGGCAAGATGGGCACCACCAGGATGTGACTCAGAAGTGTCACTTTTTCATGAAAAGAAGTGCTGCTTGTAACAGTTGGTTGATGGGAAATTCCTACTGCGTGAGTCGTTCTGTTCTGATCTTATTTTGAGCCTCAAAAAAAAAAAATCAGTGTCATTGGAACATTGAGTCATTTTCGGTAAAAAGTTGGGCTCTGGGCGGGCTTCATCTTTGCCTGTCACCTTGTGTGAGGTTTGCGGGACTTAATTTTAAATCTGCGGGTCTCAGGCTTCTCGGGGTGCGGAGGAAGCTGAGGTTTCTCTGGTTGGTTTGTGGACGCTCACGAATGCCTCAGTGGGCTGGGAAGAGACACTTTGGGCTTCTAGTTCCGAACCCAGGAGGTGCAGAGCCCTTTAGCTGTCTAGGCTGGTGACCGGGACCTCCCAAGCTTCCCAGGAGGGGGTGGGGAGATCTCTGTGCCTCTGGGGCACCCTGGCTGTGAGGCTCACTGTCTCGGCGCCTGTTCTCCCTTGGTTATATGCTAGAGAGGCAGGAGGGAGGGAGATGGGAAGAGACCCCCCAAGCTGGGACCAGGGGGCCAAGTCAAGGAGGCCCAGAGCCACCCACAGTGTCCAGGTGCGGGCAGTATCCATGGGCAGGACTGTGGGTCCTCTCCCTGCTGCAGGAATCGGAGAGACCTGAGACTCCCCCAGCCTGTCTGCCGTAGCCATCAGCGCCTGTGAATGGGGTGGTGTGTGCACTGGGTGGGGTGACAGGGATAGGGTTCTCAGTTCTGCTCCCCGGTCAGTGCTGGTCTTGGCTCTGGGCCACTGCCCCACCTGCACCTGGCCGCCTCGCTGTAAACACGGCTGGCAGATGCCAGCTTCTCTCAACCCCTTTCCGCAGGCTGCCTCCCTCTGTCAGGCTGTGGGAACTCCTCGGTGTGGGCTCCATGAGAGGCCACGTGCCCTCCTGCCTCTCCTTATGGCCGCTGGCCCTACAGTAGACTCATTTCAGGAATGAGTGGGGTCTGGCCCACAGCCCAGTCTGGCTGTTTCCAGTGCCCCTCAAAGGTTAGGCCACTTGTTCGGGGAGTGCTTTCGTGAGGGGGAGGGAGGGAGACGTATAGGCACCTGCAGAAATCTCAGTGGCCTCTGCTTCTCCTTTGCTCCAGCCCCCAGACAGAGGTGGGGCCTGGCTTCGCCCTGTGCCCCTCGGAGAGGTGCACTGAGCCGGGCAGCCTCAAGCCCCTCCTGACCCAGGCAGCGCTCACCTGGGCTACCTCGGAGGAGGCACCAGAGGAGAGGCTGCCTGTAGCCTCTTCCCCGAAGGGCCCTCAGCTTCGTTGCCGGCCCCTGCATTTGGGGCTCTCTGTGCTAATTGGGCGTTTTCTGCAGTTTCAGGCGTTTCATCTCCTGCATATCTGAAAAGCCCTGGTGGGAATCACGGTTCTCCCAGGGGCGCCCCCTGCCCCTCATGGCAGGGAGCTGTGGGGGGCTGTGCTGCCAGGTGCCTGTTCCCCAGTGGCTCCCAAAGCTGGTCTGTGGGAAGTGTGGCTGGACAGGCCCAGGGCACAGCGCACAGGCCTGGAGCAGTCACGGTGCTCTCCTTCCGCCTGCAGGGAGTGAGGATCCTTTGGACACCAGCCTGAGAGTTCACGGGGTCCACGCCACCAAGCATGCGGCTGAGAAGCGGCCCCTGCCCATTCGAAGGAAGAGAAGCATTGGTGAGTGGAGGAGGCCGCAATCGGCAGGGCAGGGCTGGGTGGGGAGGAGCTGCTGGCTCTCCCAACACAGTGGCCTCAGGCGAGTGACCCGTTCCCTCCTCCCTAAAATAGGCCTGGCCCTGGTGCCTCTGGCTCTGGCCTCTCCCCAGGCCTCCCTCCTTCGGGGGTGTCTCCTGCCCCAGCCCGCCTGCTCCTCCTGGAGTCCTGGTCTGGGCCAAGAGAACTTCCAGGGGAGAAAAGCCATCATAAATTCCTTAAGTGCTCCGTCTTGTTGGGGCTTGTTCCCAGGAACCTTGCTGGAAACATGGTCGTGCCTAATTTCACAGTGTGGGCACTGTGCTCCCGCGCCGGCTGCTGAACCGGTGGGGACACGCGCGCCCCGGACGCCCTCACCACACCCTGCATGCCCTGCCCCACTCACGCCTGGCTCCACGGCTCCACCCCCGCATCCATTTGGGGGATATTTTGTCCCTTCTCACAGGGCAGCCCCATGGCCCTCCTGCCCCCTGAGGAGGAGCTAGCAGGTTTGGGAGGTTCCTGGGCCAGTCGCTGCTTTCTACCCCAGTCCCACGTCCTCTGGGGTCCCACCTGATGGGGTTGAGCCCTGGTGCTGCTCATTGCTCTGTGGCCCTGAGCAGGTGGACCCCCCTCTCTGAGCTGTGGTTTCCTCCATGAGGATGGATTTTGTATCTTCCACCTTAAAGTGTGATGTGTGGGTGGCTGGTCCCAGCTGATGCAAGCAGGCCCTCCCCAGGTGACATTTGCTGTGGGGGTCTTCATTTTGCACCCTTCAGACCAGTCTTGAAGGCCAGAACACCCCAGCGAGTGCTGTAGGATTCTCTGCTAAGTCCTGCTCTGCCCCCCCAGTCACTGGCCCCACCTGTCCAGGTTCCTCCAGCCTGCAGGCACTTGGATGTGTGGTCCTCCTGCCCACCCCGCCCATGAGCCTCTGCTCCCAGCTCAGCCTCTGCTGCCGAGGAGGAATCCTGGCCTGTGGCTCACCCTGGTTGCCCTCCAGGCCCAGCTGGAGCCGCCCCAGCCCTGGGGTGGGGCGGTGGTCGCAGAGGCCAGTCGCTGCTCACTGTGTCCCCGCCGTTGCAGAGGAAGCTGTCCCCGCTGTCTGCAAGACCAGGACGGTCATTTACGAGATTCCTCGGAGTCAGGTTGACCCCACGTCCGCCAACTTCCTGATCTGGCCCCCGTGCGTGGAGGTGAAGCGCTGCACCGGCTGCTGCAACACAAGCAGTGTCAAGTGCCAGCCCTCACGCATCCACCACCGCAGCGTCAAGGTGAGCCCGGCCCCTCCCTCCCTACCCCAGCCCGAAGGCCACCCCTACCAGGCAGCCAGGGTCCCTCCCAGGTGACCACAAGGTGCTCTTGGCATGGCTGGTGGGGGGGGTGGTGCACGGCTGCGTTCCCATCTCCCTGGCAGGTACACTGAGGCCCAGGGAGGAGAAGGAGCACCTGGGGGTGTGGGAAAGGCAGGGCCGGCTGGGCCTTCCACTCTGATGCTCTGGGGATGAGTCTGACCTCCTTTCCACGCTCTAGGCCACAGTGCGGGGGCTGTTTTGGGCCTTGCAAGGTGTCGAGCTGCTTAGCAGGAAGCTGTCTGGCGTCCCCGGGACCTGGAGCGTCCTCTGCAGGCTCTTCAGTGGGGGCTGTGGTGCGTGGCAGGAGGAGTAGGGGGTGGGTATTCAGAGCCTGCATTGCCTCTGGAAGTGCCTGACCTTTGGAGGGTCCCCTGGCTTCTCCCCTAGAGCAGCCCAGGAGAAGGAGAGGGAGGGCTTGGGGTGGGCTCCAGGCCAGATAGCAGACTTCCCTCTGCAGAATCCCAGGGTGAGCCCCGCTTTCGTTAAGTTGGGGGTGGTGCCTGTCTTTTTCAGGCTGCTGTAGCAGAATTCCATCCACTAGGAGCTGATTAGCAACAAATGTATTTCTCAAAGTTCTGGAGGCTGGAAGTCCAAGATCAGGGCGCCGGCAGACTCTCTCTGCTGGGGCTGTGTTTTCTGGGTTCATAGATGACGCCTTCTCACTCGGCCCTCAGTGTGAGGGGCGGGGTGAACAGGCTCCCTAGTCTGTTGTCTAAGGCACTGATTGCATTCATGAAGGCTCCACCCCTAGAACCTAAGCAGGCCGGGCGAGGTGGCTCACACCTGTAGTCCCAGCCACTGTGGAAGTCTGAGGCTGGAGGATCGCTGAGGCCAGGAGTTCAAGACCAGCCTGGGTAACATGGCAGGACCCCGTCTCTACAAAAAATACAAAAATTATCCGGGCGTGGTGGCACGTGCCTGTGGTCCTAGCTACTCTGGAGGCTGAGGTGGGAGGGTCAGGGTCACCAAATCCTCAGCTGACTTGAGCCCAGGGAGTCCAGACCAGGTTTGGCAACACAGTGAGATCCCCAACTCTACAAAGAATTTTAAAACTAGCCAGGCGTGGTGGCATGCACCTGTCGTACTTGGGCGGCTTAGGTGGGAGGATAGCTTCAGTCTGGGAGTCCGAGGCTGCGGCAAACCGGTGCACCAGTGCAGTCTCAGTGCCTTAGAAAGCAGTCGGGAGGTTGAAGCTGCAGTGAGCTGTGATGGAGTCACTGCATTCCAGCCTGGACAATACAGCAAGACTCTATCTCTAAGAAAAAAAAAAAAAAAGGACTTCATGCCTTCCCTAAGACACCTGCCTCCTAATGCCATCCCCTTGAGCTGGGATTTCAGCGTAAGAAGCCTGGGGGCACTGGCATTCCTGCCACAGCAGGGCCTTCCTCCCTGGGGTTGCGCTGGGGGAGGAGCAGCACCCGGGTAAACTTGCTGAAGGTCTTCTTTGGTTGCTGAGGTCCCAGGGCCAGGGCTGCGTGGCTGGGCCTCTTCTCCCTGCATTCAGGGAAGTGTGCCCAGAGACCTGCAGGATACAGCGCCCTGGGTGGGCTGGCTTTGGCCTGCGTGTTTTCCTCCCGTGTGCAATGGGTCTGAGGCAGGGCCTGGCCCTTCTGAGAGAGCCGGGGCTGCTGCCATCCTGTTTGCAAGGGAGGTTTCCTGCCTGTTGGGGCATCAGTCTCCAGTTTTGGGGACGGGGTTGCAGGGTGAGTGTCTAAGGTATCTTCTGGCTTCTGTGAGGCCTAACACCTCCCTAGGGCTCCCATCTGGGAGGGGTGGGCTCTCTTAGGGCTCCTCTCCCTGGAAACTGTCTTCAGTTGGTTTAAAGTGCTGTTAATGCTCCCACCTGACCTGCGGGACCCACGCGTTTGAGCAGCAGGTGCAGGCGGGCGCGGCCCCCCTAGTCCAGGAGGCTGTTGCTTTGACTCAGAGCCTCCTGGCTCGGCCTCAGCTGAGGACTTTTTTTTTTTTTTTTTGACACGGGGTCTTGCTCCGTTGCCCAGGCTGGAGTGTGGTGGTGCGATCACAGTTTGCTGCAGCCTCGGACTCCCAGGGCTAAGCCGCCCGACTATGACAGGTGCACGCCACCAAGCCTGGCTGATTTTAAAATTATTTGTAGAGTTGGGGATCTCGTTGTGTTGCCCAGCCTGGTCTAGACCCCCTGGGCTCGAGTCAGCTGAGGATTTGGTGACCACTGAGCCTGCTCTTCCTGGAATATGGGATCACTGAAATTATGTTTGAGGATTTCAGTTTTGGGGTTACATTAGTAACCATTCTTTGACTTTAGAAAATAATTATTTCACATCCCCCACCCCCCACTGTTGTGACTCCAGGACCCTGGAGGGAGATGGGGCAGGGGGAGAAGGTTCTCCACGAAGGACTTTGCAGCCAGCCGGGCCGTTTCCTCGTCACATGACCAGGCACTTTAGACTCGTAACTGGGAATTATCTTGGCCTCTGGGGACTTGGTCCTCCGAGGTGCCTGGGTATTGAGTAAGCAGATTCCACATCTTACTACCCGGGATCTCCAAGGCCACACAATCCCCTTTCGAAGCCCCGAGTTTTTCCCAGGGCCCTGCGGATGCTTGTCTGGGGCACTCTTCTGTCCTTAGAGGGTATTTACTGCCAGCGGGTCAGGGAAGGAGGGGAAGGGAGGGCCTGACTCGGGCCTCCAGGTCCCGGTGGCCCGAGTGCCCCGGCCGTGAGCCCAGCACCGTCCCCTGTCCTGTGTGCCTCCCTGGGGCACAGCCTCTGCCTTTCTGTGGGCCTCGGCATCCTCCCAAGTTGTATGTTGGAGGCCCTTGTGAGCTCTGAGTCCGGGATACCTGTGGTCTTGTTCTCATTAGAGATTCTCATGTCAGTTCTGGGTGTTGGGGGAGCCTTGGAGGTGTGGGGAGAGTTTCTCAGCCCATGGCTCAGCCTTGGGCAGGCCCCACCCTTCCCGCCCTGGCTTGTCATGGGGTGAGGATAAGAGGGCTTGGCCCTACAGGGCAGTGCTGCCTCCCTCCCCCGGCCCCCGGAGCAGGCTGGGTGGGGCCTAGGGGCTTCCAGCACCCTCTGGCCCGTGCAACATTGGGGATGAGGGCCAGTTCCCCCTCCGGGAGTGGCCCCTGCTTTGCTCTGTGCAGTGGTGGAGCCGGGACCCGGGCTCTGCCTCTGGGTCTCATCTGGCGGGACAGGGTCCTGGTCAGCCCAAGCAGGGACAGGGTGTCCTAAGACCTCAGGGCTGTGTCCTGCAGCAGAGCCGGGCAGCCCAATTCCCACCTCCTCAGACCCAGGCCCCCCTCACCTTCCCGCTTCTGGGAGGCGTCTTCTCCCTGCCCACCCATCCGAGGGTTGGAGGAAAACATCCGGCTCTGGACACAGGGGCTCTGGCTGAGGGGACAAAGGTCAGAGGAAACAGGAGCCCCACTGCGGAGGCTGAGCCAAGAGGCTGGTCCTGCCACTGCGGATAGAGGTGGCTGTCAACCTGGTGAGAAGGAGATGGGCCCCAGAGCCTCAGACTCCATGCCTGTGAGTGGGCATGGGGTCAGCTAAGGTCAGCGGGGTTGGGGCTGACCGGGAGGGGCCCCCACAGTCTGTCCACCCAGGCTGGGCGTGGCACCTCCCGTTTCCATTTTTTATGCTCTTCCAGTCAACATTCAGAGGTCTCTTGTTAGAAGATGGTAGTGAAGCCAGGAGTGGTCACTGCCCAGCACAGGCCCTGCTGGGATCACCAGGATGTGACTGACCGGCAGCCTCGGGGAGAGACTGGCCAGGGTCCCCAGCTGGGTGGGTGTTTCCTTGCACTCTGCCTGGCACAGTCAGCTCTTGGTCCCTGGACGCCTGACTCTTCCCCGAGACCCAAGCCTCGGGGGTAGGACAGGAGTGTGGGCCTGGACGTGGACCATGGGGATGAGATGCCAGCCCGAGGGCTGCAGGGGTCTAGCCGGGACGGAGCTGACTCTGAGCCTGCCTTGATGGGCTGGAGGCTTCCAGAAGGTGTGTGCTCACCTGGTGCTCGGGATGGGCCTCTGCTCCCTGGAACGGAGTGGCTGGGGTGTTCTGGGTGAGAAGCTCCCAGCCACGCCTCTGTCCACTCTCTGGGGTCTGGTGCAGGAGTCTCTAGGTGGGCGGAGTGGGGGTCCTCTTGAGCCAGGCTGGGCAGGGGACTCTTACACGAGCTTGAGGCTTGGGCATTGCTTCCATTCTTAGTGGATGTGGGGGCGGTGCTGAAGGAGGCAGGATCTTCTTTTTTTTCTTTTTTATAAAGACTGGATCTTGCTTTGTTGGCCAGGCTGGTGTCAAATTCCGGGGATCACAAGTATGAACCTCCTCCATGCCCGATTTGAGGGATTTTTTTTTGTTTTTTTTTTTTTGAGACAGAGTCTCACTCTGTTGTCCAGGCTGGAGTGTAGTGCAGTGGCCTGATCTCAGCTCACTGCAACCTCTGCCTCCCAGGTTCAGGTCATTCTCCTGCCTCAGCCTCTCGAATAGCTGGGATTACAGGCACACGCCACCATGCCGGGCTATTTTTTGTATTTTTTAGTAGAGATGGGGGTTTCGCCATGTTGGTCAGGCCGGTCTCGAACTCCTGACCTCAGGTGATCTGCCCTCCTCGGCCTCCCAAAGTGCTGGGATTACAGGCGTGAGCCACTACGCCCGGCTGGGATCCTCATGACCCAAGTGAGCATCTGGATTGAGTGACATTCCAAGTCTCTGTTGAGAGACCCCCAGGTTGGGCTGTGGGGCGATGGGGCCAGGGCTCTGCTCTTTTGGAGTCTAGGCTTCCTTTCTGTGAAAGAGGTGAGAAGGAGTGCAGGTTAGGAATGGAGATTCAACACTGTGTGACCCTGGGCAAGGGGCTTCCCTTGTCTGTGCTGTGTGTTCTCATCTCTAAAATGGACCACGATGGCGTCCTCACAGGGTAGCTGTGAGGGTTACAGTGACGGGCGTGTGCGGTCCAGTCACGTGTCTTTCATGGCTGATACTCTGCCTTGGAGCTTTGAAAGGGTCAGGACATAACCTGGAGTTGGGGTGGGGTCCCCTGCAGGGAGTGACTGTCCCAAGCCCTCCTCAGGGCGTGTCTGCAGCCTCTAGGCTTTGTAGCAGCAGGGACTCGGCATCCCAGGTCTAGAGGGGTGACAGCGTCCCTTCATTATAGTCTCGGGTGAGTTCGTGCCAGTAGTGTTGCGGTGGGCAGGCTTACGATGCAGATGAACTCAGCTGTGGGAAATTGGAATATCTGGTGTGATGAGGTGCAGCCCACATCTCTGGGACAGAAAAAGGGGAAGGACATGGAGACCCCCCCCATCACTTGGGCTCCAGCTTGGGTCTGGGGGCCGGGCCACCTACCGTGGGGGTCCTGAGGACATTGTAGTCTCTGTTCTTTGGACTTGGCCTTCTTTTATGGAGGAGGTTTTTGTGAGAATCCAATATTCATTTTGTGTTCTTGGGAGAAAAATGCAGCTATTTCCTGGCCAGACAGAGGTGGTGGAACGGCCCAGAATCCTGGCATACTCAGAAACAGGTGCAATCATAAATCGCTGTTTGTTTTTGTTTGATAAAAATGGGCTTGTCTGAGGAGACAGTGGGTTCCCAGACGAGCGGCCGTGCCGTGTGCCTTTCGCACGGTGCCCAGAAGGGCGGCATTTCTGCTGTGTCCTGGGAGCCCACATACCTGCGGCGGCTGGCCATCTTGAGTGGATGAGACAGCAAGCCTGCCCCTCGCCTGGGCTTTGGTGTCTGGCCAGATGGGCCTGCCGTCTCTGCCGAGCCAGGCCCTGGTATCTGCCCTGCCGAGGGAACTAGGTGAGGCTGCTTGTTGACCAAAGAGGCTGTGCCACCCGGAGGGTCAGGGCTGGAAGCAGAACAGGGCGCCCTGCCCGAGCCCATCCCCACGAACCCAGATTTCAGAGCCCACCTGCCCCATGCCTCACTTGGCCGCCCCTGCAGAGGCTGAGGGTGGGTGGGAGCAGCAGAGTAGGGGTGCTTTGAGCCCAGGAGGTGGCAGGATGTGAGGCTGGTGCTGTTCCACCTGCTGGGACCTGTGTCCAGGGCCTCCAGGGGAGGGGAAGAAGGAGCTCGGCCCCTGCCAAGGCAGGAGGGGGCTGGGTCTGGTTTTGTGCACTGGGATCCCTAGTTACTACCTGGCAGTTCTTGACTCAGGGAGGGCTAAAGACATGCTTGGAGGGCTGGGGGTGGCTGAGGTCCCAGGTGGCCCTGCTGCTCCTCTTGAGGCTTTGCTGCAGTTCATCCTTAGGCTGGGCCTCTCCCACCCCAGGCCCTCAACAGGAGCATGACTCTAGACTCACTCTCTGCCTGTGGTGGGTGGGGGGTGGTACTGTGCTGAGCCTGGGGACCAGGGGGCGGGTTGGTTTCGAGGCTCTGTGTTAGAATAGACGCCGGTGGCAGCCCACTCCTGAAGGCTGGCTTTGTCCTCAGTTCTGGGGGCTTCTGCGTGTGCAGCCTCATTTATTCCTCAACCCTTGAGTGGGTGTGATCGGCTTCCCTTTTCCAGATGGGAGGTGGAAGTGTGTGCACAGCTGCAGAAGCCTCTCTGGAGGATTCTGTCCTGGGGAAAGGGGCAGATTGCCGCGGGAGTTGGGGGACTGGTCTGAAGCCTCCCGAATGGAACGGAACCCCATCCAGGAAGCGGCGGTGTCCTGGCCGCTTTCTCTCACGCTTTGTGACGTAGCGAAACCTCCCAGGCCAGGTCCTGTTTCTGAGCTGGCTCCTGACCCCAGGCGTCCCACGCCCTGCACCTGTTGAGCTCATACTTGGCTGTCTGTTCATGCCCCAGGCAGGCCAGACCACTTCACACGCCTGCAGGCACCCTTTGCACTGTGGGTTAACCATTAACTCAGCCTTGGACAAGCCTGGTCTCCAGTGCCTTAGGGACCGGCTTACCTTCGGAGCCTGCCTGGTCCCAGGGTGCAGAGCTGACCTTCTGCCTGGGGGTCCTGCTGATGCCCAGTCTCCAGAGTCCCCCACCCCACCCCCTGAAGAAGGTTGGGAAACATTCCCCTCTTCCCTCCTTTACCCTCCTGACTGCCTGGGAGGCAGGGCCACTGGGCTGGGGGCATCTGACCTTGTGCTGAGGTCTCCTCATTCACCCAGCAGTGTGCATTCCCCCATGCCCCTGTGCTCAGGGGGTGACCCGGCCTCTGTTTCCTTTCTAGCCTCAGTTTCCCCATGAACCGTGAGGGGTGAAGTGGGGGCTGTTCTTGGACTTAGACCCTGTATGCGGCAGGGCTGGTTCCGTGGGCACAGATGGAGCGCCTGCTGGGTGCTCGGCTCCCCAGGGCCTGGGAGGGCAGGAAGGTGGTGGCTGTTCCCTGGCATGTGCCCCAGGGGGCAGGTGGGACAGCCTAGCAGTTAGGGACAGGTTTAATTAGGGCTTGCCTGTGTCTCAGTTTCTTCTTCTGTGAATGGAGGTGCCAGTCGTGCCTCCTTATAGGGTGGTTGGGAGGATGACATGAGTGCTGGGGTTTGGGCTGGGAGAGCCGGTGCTCGACTCACGCGGTCCCTGGCCGTGCATTAGGGGTCTGTTGATGCCAGGCGTGTGTGTAGTAAGATTCCCATAATGGGGCCCATGTGTACATTATGCCTGCATGAATGTGTGTGGGGGGTGGAGTTGCCTCCCCATGACAGGGTATGTGTGTGCATTATACAGGTGTGTGTGGGGGGTGGAGTTGTGTTCCCATGACGGGGTTTGTATGTGCATTATGCATGTGTGCATGTGTGTGTGTGTGTGTGTGTTTCTTGCCTCCCTTGTTGAATGCCTGAAGCTCCCCCTCTCTGGCCTGGACTGGGCCATTGTCTGCCTTCAGCTCCCCCAGGAAGGGGCTGTGGAGGCAGGACCCCTATGTTGTGGTTCTGTGCCTGGAGAATTGAGGGCAGGTATGGCTTGCAGACAGGCAGAGTCCAGTCTGAAGAGAGACACTCGGCTGAGGTCTGGTTCGCTTTTGAGCTGCCTGTGCCTGACAGCCACAGCCCACCAGCCTGTGCTCCTCCCGGTTCATCTTGTGGAGCCTCAGTGATGGCCCAGGGTTCCTGGCCCTGGTTTCCGAGGTCAGGCCTCTCTGAGCCCAAGGAGAGCCTTGGACCTGGGGGAGTCATGAGGGGATCCCGGTTGTGGGTCTGCTGGCCCTGCTGCCTGGGGGCTGGCAGGGAGGTGGGGACCTCATCAGGCCAGCAGCTGGGATTATCATCTGGACTCTCAAGTCCACAACAACCTCAGGCTAGGATACAGCCACGAACCCCCCATTCCTAGGCCATGGCTGTAAAATTTTTTTTAATTAATAGAGATAGGGTCTTGGTATATCGCCCAGGCTGGAGTGCAGTGGTATTATCACAGCTCACTGCAGCCTCAAACTCCTGGGCTCAAGTGATACTCCAACCTCAGCCTTCTGAGTAGGCTGGGACTACAGGTGCCACCATGGCTCGCTAGTTTTTAAATTGTTTTTAGAGACAGGCTCTTACTATGTTGCCCAGGCTGGTCTTGAACCCCTGGAGTTAAGTGATCCTCCCGCCTTGGCCTTCCTAAGTGCTGGGATTACAGGCGTGAGCCACCATGCTCAGCCTGGCTTTTAAAATGTATTTAATAACAACATGATCATTTGAAAACATTTTCCAGCTGCACATCCACACACAAGCAAACACTTTCCCTGGCCACCTGCACCCCAGAACCCCCAAACTCCCACACCTTAGCAGTGTGCATCCTTCAGACCCCACAGGCACACGTGAACCTTTGGGTTTATTTTAAACAAAAATAGGATGAATCTACAAAATGCCATGCTCCAACGCCAGGCGTGGTGGCTCTCGCTTGAAATTCCAGCACATTGGGAGGCTGAGGCAGGAAGATCACTTGAGTCCAGGAGTTCAACATCAACCTCGGCAACATAGCGAGATCTCATTTCTACCAGAAAAAAAAAAAAATTTAAATTAGCTGGGCATGGTGGCCTGTGCTTACAGGTGGGAGGCTGAGGTGGAAGGATCATTTGAGCCCAAGAGTTCAAGGCTGCAGAGAGCTATGATTGGCCTGGGTGACAGGGTGAGATCCTACTCAAAAAAACTAAAACACACACACAAAAAACTGCACTGCAGCTTGTAGGTTTTTCACCTGGTACTCCTACACTCTCCACCACAAGGTAGCGTTCCTGGGAGGAGGTCAGAGGTCAGAGGTCAGGCTGCTCTCTCCTCCCTCCCAGCCTGTCCCTGGCTCCCAGCACGTCGTGTTGTCTGAAACTCCATGCAGGCATTCATGGCTGGGCTGTGTTCTGTCGGACAGGTGGCCAAGGTGGAATACGTCAGGAAGAAACCAAAATTAAAAGAAGTCCAGGTGAGGTTAGAGGAGCATTTGGAGTGCGCCTGCGCAACCACCAGCCTGAATCCGGATTATCGGGAAGAGGACACAGGTGAGTGGCTGCCTTCGTTGGCATTGGTGTTCGAGAACAGATCCTCGGAGCCTTGCTTTTGGGGTGTTAGGTGGCCCCCTGGAGCGCGATGCTCACGACTGTGTGCATCTGGGCTGCTGTTGAAGGACTTGTTGGCCTGCTCCTGGGCCAGATGCCTGCTGAGGAGGCAGATCCCACGCCTGCAGGTGTCCAGTGGGGAGCCCAAGCCGCAGCACTGACAGGAGAGGAGGTTCAGGCCTCACTGAGAGGGGCTGGGAGTGCATAAGATGCCCAACTCATCAGTGGGCCACGGGGCTGAGATGAGAAGAATCTGAAGAAGGGCCCCTGCCGGGATGGGCGGGAGGAGCAAGTTCGAGGACTACAGCTGCCCTGGCTGGCTGGGGTCTCTCCTTCACCCCACTGAGCGGACTCCACCCAGGAGCAGAATGGCCTCTGTGCCCTGCTGTGTCTGGGCCCTGGGAGCACGAGGGGACTCAGAAGTTTCTCCATGCCAGGGTGCTGGCCTTCTCTTCTGGAAAGATAAACACCGTAGGTATTTGTTGCTTCAGTTCTTCACCCCGACGGCCATCCCTTGGCCCACTCACTGCCGTGCCCTTTTGTTAACAGGAAGGCCTAGGGAGTCAGGTAAAAAACGGAAAAGAAAAAGGTTAAAACCCACCTAAAGCAGCCAACCAGGTAGGACCTGTCCGCCGGACATGCTGAGTCCTGCAGGGCGGGGAAGTGCAACCAACTGATCACACCAGCAAATCACGCTTCCTGTCTCGCCGGGTGCGGCAGGGACGTGGCCCTGATTGGCCTTCATGGTGTCTGCTGGGCTTGGGTCTCCTTGCTCCCCGTCTGCTCCTGCCTCGCAGAACGCCCTGGCCCGCGGCTCACTCCCACTCTGGGAGCCTGCCTTCAGCTTTGTCCTTCTCTTTGTCGTTGATTGGGGACGCAGGAGCATTGCACATGAATGGAATGGGTTGGGCGACCTGAGCAGCGGTGGGGCTGCTCTGACCGCCTGACCACTCTGGGATCACCCACCCCATTTGACAGATGAAAAAACTGAGGCTTAACTGAGATTACAGATAAGGACTGTTGGAGGCTGAATATATCTGGAAATCCTTTATAAACGCACAGGGCTGTCGGCTCCTGTGTTGGAAATTGTATTTGGCTGCTAGTGACACCAGACAGCACAGGGATTGAGATAAGGTCGAGCTTCATGACTTTCATCTAAAAGTGGGATTGCAGAGCAGGGAGGGTAGTCTTGAAGTATCATCAGGGTCTCCCTTCTGTCTGGCTAGTGGCATCCATCTGCAGTTGCCTCATGGCCCAAGGTGGCTGCGAAAGCTCCAGAAACCACATCTGTGCTCCAGGCTGGAAGAAGGAGTGAGGGGGGAAAAGGGCAAAATAACACCCTTAGAGAGCTATCCTGGAAATTCCACCCAGTGACTTTTGTGTTTTTCTCAACTGCCATCCCTCCACTGCAAGGGAGCTTGGGAAACGTCTCCTAGCAACACACGTCACTTCCCAGATGGAGATGGGACCTAGGCAGTCGCTGTCATCACGGAGGAGGCAGTTTCAAGCCTTCCTGGTCCTTGGCATTGGCCCGCCTGGCTTGGGAAAGTTGGAGCCCTGTCTGGCCTGGTTCCTCCTCCTGGCACGTGGGACTCCATGGCGGCCAAAACAAATAGTTTCTTTAGAAGAGAGGAGGCTCTCAGAGATAGGGTGTCTGAGAACCCTGGCTCCTGTTTGCAATGTGGGACTTGGGCCTGCGGGTGAGGTCCATTCATGAGGAGCCTCTTGGGAGGAAAGTATCCACTTGGGCGGGTCTTTGAAGTAGTCCAGGACTGTTGGTCAGCCAGCCTTGGCTTCGTTTGCCCAAAGTGTGGTGTGATGAGTGGTTTTGTGCCTGCCTGCAGGTTCTGTTTCTACAGAGCGTTAGGCTCTGGCCTCCATGGGCCTGCTGTGACAGATCCCATGGTGAGAGGCTGGCACTCCTGTTGTCCCATGCCTGGCTGGCACTCATGCTCAGCCTATAGTTGGCCCAAGTGTTGGAGTGTGTGAAGGAGCGGCAACATAGGATGCGGAAGAGTTGTTCTTAAAGAATCAGCATAGGTCTGCTTAGGTGCAGACTCTTCTGTCTGGCTGGTGGCCTCCATTCTCAGGGTTGTCTCATGGGCCAAGGTGGCTGCCAGAGCTCCAGAAATCACATCTAAGCCCTCGGCTGGAAGAAAGGAAGGCAGGGAGAAGGGCAAATGAACCATTCTTGGCCTCAGTTTCCCCCATCTGTACAATGGAAGAATGGGGCTTGGTCTCTAGACATGTTCTTCTGTGAGATGCTGGGAGCCTAATCCCAATTCCTGTCAGGGTACTGCAACATGGCTAATGTGGCAAATGTGATTCTGGAAATTTCATGAAAACTTGAAATCCATGTGTACCCCTGATTGGGTTAAATGTTTTCACCCTGTTTGCCTCCTATGTAGTGATGTGTGTGCTGGGTGGTTCACTTGGTCGGTGGTCTCAGTGTCTGTCTTTCCCTTCTCCCTGCAGATGTGAGGTGAGGATGAGCCGCAGCCCTTTCCTGGGACATGGATGTACATGGCGTGTTACATTCCTGAACCTACTATGTACGGTGCTTTATTGCCAGTGTGCGGTCTTTGTTCTCCTCCGTGAAAAACTGTGTCCAAGAACACTCGGGAGAACAAAGAGACAGTGCACATTTGTTTAATGTGACATCAAAGCAAGTATTGTAGCACTCGGTGAAGCAGTAAGAAGCTTCCTTGTCAAAGAGAGAGAGAGAGAGAGAGAAAACAAAACCACAAAACATGACAAAAACAAAACGGACTCACAAAAATATCTAAACTCGACGAGATGGAGGGTCGCTCCCGTGGGATGGAAGTGCAGAGGTCTCAGCAGACTGGATTTCTGTCCGGGTGGTCACAGGTGCTTTTTTGCCGAGGATGCAGAGCCTGCTTTGGGAACGACTCCAGAGGGGTGCTGGCGGGCTCTGCAGGGGCACGCAGAAAGCAGGAATGTCTTGGAAACCGCCACGCGAACTTTAGAAACCACACCTCCTCGCTGTAGTATTTAAGCCCATACAGAAACCTTCCTGAGAGCCTTAAGTGGAAATTTTTTTTTTTTTTTTTTTTTTTTACACCATAAAGTGATTATTAAGCTTTCCTTTTTACTCTTTGGCTAGCTTTTTTTTTTTTTTTTTTTTTTTTTAAATTATCTCTTGGATGACATTTACACCGATAACACACAGGCTGCTGTAACTGTCAGGACAGTGCGACGGTATTTTTCCTAGCAAGATGCAAACTAATGAGATGTATTAAAATAAACATGGTATACCTACCTATGCATCATTTCCTAAATGTTTCTGGCTTTGTGTTTCTCCCTTACCCTGCTTTATTTTTTAATTTAAGCCATTTTGAAAGAACTATGCGTCAACCAATCGTATGCCGTCCCTGCGGCACCTGCCCCAGAGCCCCTGTTTGTGGCTGAGTGACACCTTGTTCCCCGCAGTGTACACCTAGAATGCTGTGTTCCCGCGCGGCACATGAGATGCATTGCCGCTTCTATCTGTGTTGTCGTACCCTGGTGCCGTGGTGGCGGTCACTCCCTCTGCTGCCAGTGTTTGGACAGAATCCAAATTCTTTATTTTTGGTAAGATATTGTGCTTTATGTGTATTAACAGAAATGTGTGTGTGTGGTTTGTTTTTTTGTAAAGGTGAAGTTTGTATGTTTACCTAATATTACCTGTTTTATATACCTGAGAGCCTGCTATGTTCATTTTTGTTGATCCAAAATTAAAAAAAAATACCACCAACAAAACCCATGGACGTGAGAAGCGTTTTGTGGTACGTTTTTCTAGCACTGATTCTAGACCCTGGTTGCCAGGTCATGCGGTGTTTTGTTGGGTGGAAGCGGAAGTCAGAGCTTTCTGGGTGGGGTCCCTGGACCTGCCTCCATGGTTTAGCACCTACGAGGGTTAGGCCAAGGGCATCCTCCTGCAGGCTCCACTCCCTGGAGCGGATGAGGAGTGTCAGAGTAGCCAGAAGACCATGAAGAGTTTCATCCAAGAAGGGAGCCCACCTGACCTGGTGTGTCCATGTGCGGCGCCCACCATACCCTGCCCGGGCTGGCCCCTCCACCACCTCCAGGCCCACGAGACAAACCATCGAGGTCGCTTTCAATCTTGACCCCACGTTCTCCGAGGATCATCTGTGGACCGGTGGCTGGCTGGCATCTGTTGTCCATGTGCTGATGGAAGGTTCTTACGAAGGATTGTCTTCAACAGCTTATCTTCATGGTGCTGTTTTCAGCCTCATCAGGGCAGCCTGGAGGCTGGAGGGGAAGTGCAGGGCCAGGTGGTTGCAACCTGGTTCCTGTTCCTTGGACGCCTGCTGGGGCCCTGCCTGGGCCTGTGGGCTACTGTCCAGCTCTGCACTGGTTACAGCACCTTGCCCAGGAATGTGCATTGGATGTGACGTGTGACAATGTAACATGTATTTGTTTCCGTGAGATGCTGGTGACAATGCTCTGTTTTTCTTTTTTGTGTAAAGTCGTCTGGTGTAACACCGTGTCCATTAAAGTGATGGGGCAGAAAAGCCAGGTGTGCTATTGGGGAAGAGAGAATTCCATAAGAATTCCATAGGTCTCGAGCCCAGGGGTGGCTGAGGTAGCAGTAGAGGTGGGAACTCAGGCCTCCTTCCTTCTCTCCCTCCTTCCTCCTTCCCTCCTTCTGTCTTTCCCTCCCTCACTCCCTCCTTTCGTCCCTTGTTGGTTCATTCATGCAGGTGAGGGCCCTAGTGCCAGCTCCTCCTGTCCCTGTATGGGGAGAGTCCTGGGGAGGGGCAGGCAGGGTGGAGGCCACTCCAGCCAGGAAGAGCTGCAGCACGGTGGAGGCTGTGGTCTGAGGCTGGATCCTTTCCGAGCCTCTCCACCCACATGGGCCTGCAGCCTTTGTTGCGGCTCTGCCCTGCATTCCCGGGATTTCTGCTTCTGCCTGGGCCCAGGAAGATGGCTTTCTGCCCAGGGTCAGCTCTTCATGTCTTGTGAGCCCTGTGACCTTGACCGAGGGGCCTCCATCTGCATCTCTACATGCACATCTGTGAAATGGAGCTGCAGCTCAGGCAGGGTGAGGAAGTCATGCCATTGACATGCCTGGTGCAGGTCTTGTCTGCTGCCTCCTGCTGGGACTTCACTCTGGCCTGTAGTATTTCTAGGCCCCAGTATGGCATAGGACAAAGCCCTTGGGCACAGGGATTGCTGAGCAGTGATGGTGCTGCCTGTGAAAACAAAGTTCCTGCACCTGCCTGGAAACCTGAACGCACCTGCTCGCACAGTGCCCTTGCCAGGGTTCATGAGAGCTGGGGTCTAGCCTTTGCTGGGCTTCTCCTTTAGCTTGGGGGCATTTCCTTTTCTTTACCCAGGCCTCCATGTCCTGGCTGTAGAGGGGGTTGGAACTGGCTGGGAGAGTCAATGACTGCAGGTGGTCTCCAGCCCTGGGTCCCTACAGCTGTCTTGGGATTCCCAGCGGCAGGTGAGGCTGAGGCCTGGGTCTGGGCCAGGTGGGCCTGGGTCTTTGCCTGGGTCCTGTGCACAGAGCAGTCGCTGGGCTGGGCCAGGCTCGGAGACCCCACTCTGCAGAGAAGCCCTTCTGGTTTGTTCCCTCTTGTCAGGCACAAGAAGCCGCGGCCCTCCTGGGGGCTCCCCGGGTTTTTTGAGCTTTTCATACTAGCCACAGGTTCCTCCAAGGATTCTAGGGATGGGAACTTGAGGGCATGGCTCCCATTTTAAAGATGAGGGAGCTGTGCCCCTGGCATGCCCTGAACGCCTGGGGGACCCCAAGCAGAAGGGTCTCAGGACACAGAGCGGCAGGACTTGTGCTGTGGTTGGGCATCCAAGGGCCCTTCCATCTCCTGGGCCTTGACTCTGCCCCGTCCCACTTGTGTGCTGGGCCCCAGACTCTGGAGGAGCATTGGGGCTGGAGCTCCCAGAGTGCCTGCAAACAGCAGGGCCAGCCAGGCTCTTCTGGGGTTGTGTCCTGGGCAGGTGCCGAGACTGACACTGAAGGTCCTTGCCCTGCAGCTATCACCAAAGGGCCAAGATTCACAGAGAGATTTGCCTCTGCATGCTCCCTGGAAATGGGATCAGGAAGGACCAAGATACAGACCCCAGGGAAGGCATGGCCTCCAGGTCCAAAAGGAAGAGCAGGGATTAGAACTCAAGTGGCAAAAATCACAGAATCCCTCCACCCCACACACAGAGCCCCATTCCCTCACAGAAGCCCCCCATCCTCTCACAGAACCCTGGTCCCCTCACAGATCCCCCGTCCCCTCAAATCCCCCATCCCCTCACAGATCCGTCTGTTCCCTTACAGATTCCCCTGTCCCCTCACAGATTTCCCATTCCCTCACAGATCCCCCTGGCCTCTCACAGATACCCCCATCCCCTCACAGATCCCCCATCCCCTCACAGATTCCCCATTACCGCACAGATCCCCCCTGTCCCCTCACAGACACCCCGTCACCTCACAGATGCCCCCAACACCTCACAGATTTCCCGTCCCCTCACAGATCCCCAATCACCTCACAGATGCCCCATCCCCTCACAGATCCCCCCATCACCTCACAGATAGCCCTGTCCCCTCACAGATCCTCCATTCCCTCACAGATCCCCCCATCCCCTCACAGATCCCTCCCATTACCTCACAGATACCCCATCCCCTCACAGATCCCCCTATCCCCTCACAGATCCTCCCATCCCCCACACAGATCCCCCCATCCCCTCACAGATCCCCTGTCCCCTCACAGATCCCCTGTCCCCTCGGATTCCCCCCAGCCCCTCACAGATCCCTACCATCCCCTCACAGATCCCCTGTTTCCTCACAGATACCCCCATTCCCTCACGGATCCCCCACACAGATCCCCCTGTCCCCCTCACAGATGCCCCATCCCCTCACAGATCCCCTGTCCCTTCACAGATTCCCCCGTCCCCTCACAGATCCCCCCCTCACAGATCCTCCCATCCCCTCACAGATCCCAGGTCCCCTCACAGATCCCCCTGTCCCCTCACAGATCCCTCCATCCCCTCACAGATCCCTCCGTCCCCTCACAGATTCCCCATCATGTCACAGATCCCTCCCATCCCCTCACAGATCCCCCGTCCCTTCACAGATCCCCCCATCCCCTCACAGATCCTCCCATCCCCTCACAGATCCTCCTGTCCCCTCACAGATCCCAGGTTCCCTCACAGATCACCTGTCCCCTCACAGATCCCTCTGTCCCCTCACAGATTCCCCATCACATCACAGATCCCTCCCATTCCCTCACAGATCTCCCCATCCCCTCACAGATCTCCCCTCACATCCCCCGTTTCCTCACAGATACCCCTGTCACCTCACAGATACCCCTGTCACCTCACAGGTCCCCCATCACCTCACAGATCCCTCATCCCCTCACAGATCTTCCCATCACCTCATAGATTCTCCGCCCTCTCACAGATCCTCCCTCACAGATTCCCCTGTCCCCTCACAGATACCCCCTCACAGATTCCCCCATCCTCTCACAGATCCCCTGTCCCGTTACAAATCCCCCATCCCCTCACAGATCTCCCCATCCCCTCACAAATCCCCCCCGTCCCCTCACAGATCCCCCATCTCCTCACAGACACCCCTGTTCCCTCACAGATCCCCCGTCCCTTCACAGATCCACCATCACCTCACATATCCCCTCCCGTCCCCTCACAGATCCCCTGTCCCCTCACAGATCCCTCTGTCCCCTCACAGATCCCCCCTCACAGATCCCCCCATGCCCTCACAGATCCCCCGTCCCTCACAGATCCTCCCTCACAGATCCCCCATCCCCTCACAGATCCCTCCCATCCCCTCACAGACCCCCCGTCCCCTCATAGATTCCCCCCGTCCCTTCACAGATCTCCTATCTTCTCACAGATCCCCCATCACCTCACAGATACCCCGTCCCCTCACAGATCCCCCTCACAGACTCCCCTGTATCCTCACAGATCCCCCATCACCTCACATATCCCTCCCATCCCCTCACAGATCCGCCCATCCCTTCACAGACACTCATCCTCTCACAGATCCCCCATCACCTCACAGATCCCCCCATCACCTCACAGATCCCCCCATCACCTCACAGATCCCCCCATCCCCTCACAGATCTTCCATCCCCTCACAGATTCCCCATCCCCTCACAGATCCCCCCTCACAGATCCCCCTATCCCCTCACAGATCCCCCCTCACAGATCCCCCTCACAGATCCCCCCTCACAGATCCCCCCTCACAGATCCCCATGTACCCTCACAGATTCCCCCCGACCCCTCACAGATCCCCCCTCACAGATCCCCCCTCACAGATCCCCCCAGCCCCTCACAGATCCCCCATCACCTCACAGATTCCCCCATCCCCTCACAGATCCCCTTGTACCCTCACAGATTCCCCCCGACCCCTCACAGATCCCCCCTCACAGATCCCCCCTCACAGATCCCCCCATCCCCTCACAGATCCCCCATCACCTCACAGATCCCCATATCCCCTCACAGATCCCCCTGACCCCTCACAGATCCCCCCTCACAGATCCCCCCTCACAGATCCCCCCTCACAGATTCCCCCATCCCCTCACAGATCCCCCATCACCTCACAGATCCCCATATCCCCTCACAGATCCCCCTGACCCCTCACAGATCCCCCCTCACAGATCCCCCCTCACAGATTCCCCCATCCCCTCACAGATCCCCCATCACCTCACCGATCCCATATCCCCTCACAGATCCCCCCCGACCCCTCACAGATCCCCCCTCACAGATTC